CGACACAAGTCGACACAAACGTCGTTTTATCTTTCTTTTTTGGCAATTAATGAGTAACAAAGACAAAACGACACTTGTGTCGACTTGTCACTTCCTGGAAAGCTTTTTATATATGTTTTAAGATTTGCCCGTTACGTTACTTTCGTCCCTGTTTGGCGGGAGGAAAGTAACAACTTTCTTCCCTGGCGTGAAATTGGCCACTTTCGTCCCTCTCTACAGGCATAGAAAGTCGAACTTTCCGTGGAGGTGTTGTGAAAATAATATTTGTTATAATACACATTATGTAAACTTATATACAAAATAGATTTATAGATCAAACCTACCACTTGAAGCAGCACAATCTTGACATTCCACGTTCATAATTGATTCATTTTCTTCATTAACTGTTACAATAACAGAATATGTTTTATTTCGAACTTAGTGTTCAGGACAAATTTTGGCTTTAACTGTACATATTGAATTTTCTCCTTTTACATAAACATAACCTATTGCGGAATCTTCATTATAGTTTTGTTGAGAAGAACTAAAATAACAACAAATAAATGTGTAAGACATATTAACAATATTGTAAGAGATAAATATAATCAAATTTTAATATATTTTCTTATGTTAAAAACTACAACTTACACGTTCATTTTTGCATTGCGGACCTCAACAGCATTAAAGTTGTCATTATTTTTCACATGTTCACATACCATAAACATGTCTACTTTTGGTAAATTATTGAAATTACCTTTTGCACAAAGCCCGAATCAACCATTTTTTACTTTATCTCAAGAAACTCGAATAAAAGTATAAACTCTTTACTTCGCTGTATAACACCGTTTCAAATTTCTCGTCGTGATGTCACATCACCTTCGGTTAACTTCGGGAGTTTCCGCGGGGCATTATCGGATAGTTTGAATATTCATATTGATTCATGTTTTAAAACGCTTTAATTATTAATAAATTTACGTTTAAAAAAAAATTATTTACAATACAATTTATGTATAAACTATCATATTATGATGTTTTTAAAAAATCGTTTTGTACCTAATTTATAGATGCGAACTCTACCCCCACCTGCCGGCCGCCGCCGCCATCTTATGATCGTACGCCCTGCTGTCTATTGGTGTATTGGAGACGAGCATGATGACGTCAGCTGGTCAATATGGCGGCCATAAGCAGCGGTTCCTTCCTCCCCCCCTTCGGCACCGTGGCAAGATGGACGACACCGCGGGCCCGTCACGAACGTCGGACGTAGCGACGATGGGAAGCGAGAGCGCGGACGACGCCGCCGCCCCGCGCCGCCTCGAAGATGCGGACGATCGACGATGACGACGCGAGTGCCGCCCCTACCACGGGTGACGCCGCCGTCGAAAGCCGCGATAACCGGGGCTCGATAAGGGTCGCATCCGCATCAGTGTCGTTTCCGCAGGACATCAGATCCTTAAGAGCTTCTTACAGTTCATGAAGCTACGCAGGGAGAGAGCAGCGATGCTATCAGCATTTATACTTCCAGTATTTCAGTGTCTGATAACGGTAAGTTTACACTTTCTAATAATAATATCAAAATACATATATATAAATGTTTATATAATTTTTTTTTAGAGTCAAGTTCAAGCAGAGTCAGCGCGATAATTGTGGTATTGTCCTGGGGTGCTCAAAAAGAGACGGTAAAGCCGCAACAAATAGAGAAGATATATGGATCTAAGACCAGGAAAGTACGTGATGCGCATTCTCTTCGCACAATTTACTTCGCAGGCGGAGAAAAAGATGGAAGCTGTTATGACAGAACATGTAAGCGACTATTGAAGCGATTGTTGTTGCAACAACATTATATAAATGTTTTATTTTCAGGAAAAACAACTATCAAAAGTATCGCAAAGAGGAGAGGATTTACAATTCAATCTGTAAGCGGGCTGCGAGACTGACTGCTATAAGTGCCTGCCGCTGTCAGGCTCATGGCTCGTGGCACAAGGTTGTCGATCACGCGTTGATGCCGCCCCACGTACAGGTGCGCATGCCGGCATTGTCGCGAATCGGAGCACGGCGCAACTTCTGACACGCGTAATGTCTTTGTTCGCGAAAATTGTGCCCACAGCGCAACTCCGTCAATTGTCGGATCAATCAGAGAGCGCCGCGTTCCGGATCTCGCCTTCGTTAATTTCCGTCCCTCGAGAACCCTCCCGGCGGAAGAGAACGATCGCGAGTCAGACTCATTCACAGTCATCGTGTCGCGTTCGCGCTCGTATAAGTCCTTTAAGACGGCCTTATCTGTTCACAAAAATGGCAAATAAGGCGTCTTATTCCAAGTCAGGTTCGTAGACCTCTTAAGACAATAGTTTTATCGAAAAACTTTCTTTTGACTAGTGTTCACTTCGAAAAAGAATAGTTTGCAAGAAGTATAAGG